CTTTTTCTAAATTAAATTTTTTGACATTATAGAATCACACACAGTGGTAAGAAATGATACAGAGAAATCTCCAACAGTTAACATCTTGCTAAATTATAATGCAATACCACAGCAGGTTATCCACATTAATACAGTCAAGATAGGCATTTCCATCACTGCAAGGATTCCTCTTACCAGTTTACACTCACACCCACTGACCTCCATCCTGGCCCCTCCTCCACCCCCGACAACCACAAATCTGGTCTCCATTCCTGTAATTTTGTCATTTCAAGAATGTTCTATAATTTTTCACTCAACAGTATACTCTTGAGATTTATCAAGGTGGTTGCATGTATCAGCAGTTTGTTCTTTTTTATTGCTAAGTAGTATTCCACGAGGTGGATATATCAAAGTTTGTTTAACCATTTGTCTAAATGTCTAAAGAATACCTGGGTTGTCTCCAGTTTTAAGCCATAGAAATAAAGCTGCTGTAAATGTTCAGGTACAGGTTTTTTGTGTGAACATAAGTTCTCAGTTCTCTTGGGATAGATGCCCAGGAATGCAACTGGTGGACTATGTGGTAGTTGCATGTTTAGTTTAGTTTTTTTTTTTTTCTTTTTTAAAGAAATTGCCAAAATGTTTTCCAGAGCAGCTATACCATTTTACATTCCCACCAGCAATGTATGCATGGTCTATTTTCTCTGCAACCCCGCTAACATATGATATCACTGTATTTTATTTCACCCATTCTGATAGGTGTGTAATGGTATTTCATTGCGATTTTAATTTGCATTTTTCTAATGGCTAGTGATGTTGAACATCTTTTCATGTACTTATTTGCCATCTGTATCTCCTCTCTAGTGAAATGTCTCTTCATATCTTTTGCTCATTTCATAATTAGATTATTTGGGTTTTTATTGTTGAGTTTTGAGAATTCTTTATATATTCTAGATATTAGTCCTTATCAGATATGTGGCTTGCAAATATTTTCTCCCAGTCTGTAACTTGTTTTAGCCTCTTAACAAGGTCTTTCACAGGGCAAATATCTTTAATTTTTATGGAATTCAATTTATCAATTTTTCCATTTTGGGATTATGTTTTTGGTGTCAAGTCTAAGAACTTCTTGCTTGATCTTAGATCCCCAATTTTTTTTCCTAAAAATTTAGTAATTTCTTTTTATATGTAAGTCTGTGATTCATTTTTAGTTAATTTTTGTATAAGGTGTAAGATTTGGGTCGAGGTTCATTTTGTCTATGTATGTCCAGTTTCTCCATACCACTTGGTGAAAAAAAAAAACTATCTTTCCTCTACTGAATTAATTCTGCACCTACGTCAGGTAAGTTGTGCATATTTCTGTGGGTTTACTTCTAGGTTCTCTATTCTGTACCATTGACCTGTGTGTCTATGCTTCTAATTCCACAGTCTTGATTAATGTAGCTATATAATACCTTGGATTCGGGTAAACTGGTTCTTCCTACTTTTTCCTTCTTTATCAAAATTATCTTAGCTTGTCTAGTTTGTCTTTCCATATAAATTTTAGAATAATCTTGTCTTTACAAAAGTCTTGCTGAGATTTTGATGGGAATTGCATTAAAACCGTATATCAGTCTGGAGAGAATTGACATTTCTACTAGATGAGTGTTCCAATCCATGAACATATCGCATATTTTTCTATTTATTTAGATCTTCTTTGGTTTATTTCATCAGCATTTGTAGCTTTAAGCATACAAGTCCTACGTGTTTTGTTAGATTTATACCTGTTTCTTTTTAAGTGATTGTAAATAGTATTATATTTTCAGTGTCCACATGTTCGTTGTATCTAATAAAACAATTGATTTCTGTATATTAATCTTGTATTCATTGATCTCACGGGACTCATTAGTTCATTTTTAACGCATTCCTTGGGATTCCTTGGGAAAATAGAAACTGTTTTATTTCTTCCTTCCAATGTGAATGTGTTACTACTACCGGCTAGAACTTTCTTTCAGCACTGTGTTTAATAAAAGTAGTGGGAGCAGACACCCTTGACTTGTTCCTGATTGTAGATGGAAAGCAGTTTTTCACCATTAGGTACAATGTTATCTGTAGGGTTTTGTAGATACTCATTAAGTTGAGGGAGTGCCCCCTCTATGCCTATTTTTGACTTTTTATCATGAATGGATGTTGGATTTTGTCATATGCTTTGTCTGCATCAATTGCTATGATGAGATGTTTCTTCTTTAGTCTGATGTGGTTACACTGATTTTCAAATATTGAGCCAGCCTGGCATTCCTTGAATAAACCCCACTTGGTGATGGTGTATCATTTTTTCTTATGTATTTGGTAATATTTAAAGAATTTTTTTGCATATATATTCATGAGGGATATTGGTCTATAGTTTCTTTGATTTGTATTGTCTTGTTATGTATTAAGAGTAGATTCATGAAATAAATTAGAATTATTCTCTTCTATTTTCTGGAGAAGACTGTTAGTAGTTGATATTAATTCTTCATTTGGTAGAACTTCCAGTGAAACCACCTGGGATTGGAGATTTCTTTTTGGGGGGATTTTAAAATTAATTCAACTTCCTTAATAGCTATGGGGCTATTCAAATAATCTACTTCATCTTGGATGAATTGTACTTTTTCAACAAATGGTCAATTTCACCTAATTTGTCAAATTTACGTGTGTAAATTTGTAGTATTCTCTTTTCCTTTGATGGCTATAGCGATATCTCATTTCATTCTCCATATTGCTAATTTGAGTCTTCTTTTTGCCAGGAGTTTGTCGATTTTACTGATCTTTTAAATAACCAGCTCTTTGTTTCATTAATTTTCCCTATTGTTTTTGTTTCAGTTTTATTAATGTTTGCTCTGACTTTCCTTCCTTCTCCTTAGAGTTTTTCTAGGTATGTGAAGTGGAAGCTTAGAGTACTGAGATTTTCCTTCTAATGTTTACAATTAGTGCTATAAATTTACCTTTCAGCATTACTTTAACCGTATCTCACAAATGTTTTATTTTCATTTCTCATTGTTTATTTTTTTTTTAAACAATTTCCCTTGAGACTTCTTTGACCCATGGATTATTTAGAAGTATGTTGTTTAGTTCTTGTTTGGAGATTTTCCTGTTATTATTGATTTCTGGTTTAATTCCATTGTGGTTGGAGAATACTCTATGATTTTAATTCTTTTAAATTTGCTTAGTATGGGGTCTATCCAGGATATGGTCTTAGTATATATGTTGTGTTTGCACTTGAAAAATATATGTAGATTGCTGTAGATTGGATATCTTATTCTGTGTCAATTAGATTGTATTAGTTGATGACGTTGTTGAGCTCTTCAGTATTCTTGATTTTGTTTAGTTGTTCTATCAGTTTAAAAAGGTATTAAGTCCCCAACTGCAGTTGTGGATTTCTCTCTCCATTCAATCCTATCACTTTTTGCTTCCCATATATTGCTGTTGTTTGGTGTATACATATTTAGGATTATTATATCTTCTTGATGGATTGACCTCTTAATCATTATGTCCCTGTCACTGGTATTTTTCTTTGCTCTGAAATCTTCTTTATCTGATATTAACACAGCCACTCCTGCTTTTCTTTAATGTTTACCCGATATATATTTTTCCATACTTTTTCCTTTAGCTTGCCTACATTATTGTTCTAAGTGAGTTTCTCATAGACAATATACAGTTGGGTATTTTTAAATCCATTCTGCCAATCTTTTAATTGGTATATTTAAGTCATTTACATTTAATGCAATTTTTGACATATTAGAGCTTAAGTAGGCCATTTATTCTTTGGGGTTTTTTTCCCTGCTTCATTGTCATTTAAACATTATTTAGAATTCCATTTTATTTTTCCATATTATTTGAGTTTATCTCTTTATATAGCTTTTTCAGTTTTAAGTATTTCCTCTATATCTAGAATCCCGTTTTCACTTCAACTATCAATTTAGAAAACTCAAGATGAGAAAAGCTATACCCATATTTTATATCCATATTTTTGCTCATGATGTTTTTAATTTCTTCTGATGTTCTAACTTTTCTTCTTTTATTATTTCCTTTCTATTTAGAGAACTTCTTTAAACCATTTTTTTAGGACAGGTCTGCTGGCGACAAATTCTCTGGTCTCTGAACCCACCCTGTCCCTCTGAGACCAAGTGGAGGCCTAACAGGAAGACATCGAAATATAGAAGTGGATGCCAACCCCAAAGTAGGGCCAGAACTAAAAGAATTATTCTTTTAGAAAGGGCTGAGGGAAAAGGGCACTACGATTTATCACAGTGAGATGGGGTGAAGAGGCTTTCAAGGGGCGTTGGGAATGTCCTAACTTTTGAGGCTGCCATTTATAGGAATTGTGATAAGGCAGGAGATGGAATAAAGCACAAAGAATCGAGGGTCAAAAGCAGAGGGCAGAGAGCGCATACATACAAGAATACATACAACTGCCCTTTCTTCTGATGTGCTCCACAAAGGAATGTTTTTCCCCCAAGAGAATGCCAATCTACTACCCTCTTCAAGGTCTAGCCTAAAACACTAAACTTTAGGTCAGGTAAGAACGAGTTTCTCGGCCTTATAAACATCTCTGGAATTCACACCAGCAAGATTAAAAAGAAGATACTAATTTGGTTGTGCTTTTTATAAGCCATCGCCATAGACTCGCCTTACCTGACATATACACCCTCCATGCTGACCCTCCCCCTCCCCATACAGGAGGCAGCTTGGCGGGGAAGTAGCTTTCCTGAATCCATAGATGGGCAATGACAGGGCCTCCAACTTCCGATTTCTGTCTCTTCTTGGTTCTCATAATCTCCTAACACCTACGTTTTCTCCAACCACCTTCACTCCACTCTCTCCTGTTAGAAGTGAGAAAAGAATGGGGACTGTTCTTCCATCGTCATATTTTGAAATGCCATTTTCCCCATTTCAGTGGTCACAGAGCAATGAAGTGTTGTCCTCAAATTTGAGAAATCTCTAAGTAATTAGGAACTCTTTCCAGATCCAAAACATCCAGAAGCTTAAGAAAAAGAATGAGCACATGATTTAATTGGCTTTCTCTTTTAATCAAAAACATACTTTGTTACAGAGTTCTCAGGAAAGGTTCAACTATTTTTTAGCCACAGACTTCAACCAGGCAAAAGTATACAGAAAGCCACAAAGGAACTACCACAGCTTTAGCTGACCAGTTTTCCCAAAAGCAGAAGCTAAGTGTGGCTCTTCTCTGGGTTTTAGCATAGCTGCATTCCTCTGAGTTCAGGGGAGGAGACAGAGTTGGGAAATACCAGCACCAAATCTGTCCCACTTCCTCCAAATGGTTCTGCAGCCCACCAGGTTTTCATTATCTGCAAGCGCTCACACGCTTCCTTTAAATCACATGTCCAAGGTACTGGCCAGAACCCAACACCTGGAGGATGTGTGCCAACTCCATGTTTAGCCTTTTAACTAATCCAAGCTCATGAGTCCTTCTATCAATGACAAGCAGCCATAGCAACAGCAGCTGGTTTCATCACTTCCTCTCCCAGCTACCACAGAGCTGGCCTCTACCAGGACTCCCCAACATCCCGCCCTCGACCCGACCCCAAGGAAGGCTCTCAAGGTCCTTGAAAAAGCCAAGTTCATTAATTACACTCATCCAAGGATAAGCTGGAAGAGAACTCTGAAAGGAATGTTCCAGCCAAGTCTTCTGATCAAAATGGACCTAAAAAGAGCCAAGAATAAAGTGAATAATCATCCACTGGTATTGTTTTCTTGAGTTGTATAAACCATTTTAATTGATGCATTTGAAAGGAATTTCCCTGTTTTGAACATAGAAGAGTTAAGAAACCAAAGACTCAACCAAAGTCATGACCTCTAATATCATTAGGCATTTACAGTAAGTTTTCAATTCATTTTAGCTGAAAAAAATTTACCAGCACACAGCACTTAAGGGGATGGTGTTGCACACAAACTAACCCAAAAGGTAAAATGTTATGACTGAAAAAAAAAAAAAAGCCTTAATAAACCTTTAATAGAGATGATGGAAAAATAAAATGAAAACCCTCCCAACCCCCCCCCTTTTTTTTTTAAGGTATTTATTGCAGCCCCCAGGGTGGTGCTAGGCCTTTGGTTGAATTTAAGTCTTAAGGACATTCTTATGTAACTTCTTGTCCATAGAAGAATAGTAATAAAATATCAAGCCTAGTCTCATTTGAATAACATGGAAATAAGTAAAAAGCCTCCTCAAACAGCAGAGCAAAGGTAAGGAAGAAATCAAAAACTGCTGGAAGGTAGGCAAGGTCACTTAAATTTCAGAGCTGGAAAAACTCATCTAGTCCAACTCCCTCATTTTACAGATGAGGCAACTGAGGCCCAGAGAAGATAAATGACTTGCCTAAGGTCATACATCAAATTAGTGGCAAAGGGCAAACTAGAGAGTACAACTGTCTGGCCCCAGCCAAGAGCCACTAGTTCAGGTTGAACAAGAACACTGGCTCTGACTCCTACTGAGAAAGCCTCGTAAATAAACTGAAATCTATCCACATCAACAGAGAGAAATGATTGTCTTCACCGGAGTTTTCTCCTCAGTCCTTCCTACAGTTCGAAAAAAGAAAAAAAGGTTCATTCATCACTCGTTCAAGTCTGATGTTAAAATCCCTGAAATCATCAGCAATTACTTTAGCTACTACTTGGGGCAAGATATCAGACTCTCAATTCTCATAAAGGCACCTATAGGTCAAAAATATCTGTAGAAGAGGAATGCCAGAACATAGGGCTCAAAAGAGAACCAACCAAAACAAAAATGACTCTCTCGCTTTCTAAGGTTTTTGTTTTTTGTGGGTTTTTTTGCTGTTTTTGCTGGTGTTCTCTAGGCAACTGTATTGTCTCTGGCTATTGATACTAATTTAGTAACCCTTGTAACCCCCATGAGCAGCGTTCAAGTGGAAGCAATGAAACCTTTCAAAATCTTGCAAAGGGGGAAAATATGAATGACTCACTTCTCTCTACTTCAACTACCTGAAACTCAGCAAGAATCAGGAAGCACTCTGAGCAGTCAAATGCCAAAGCACTGAAGTCCTTTTCAGTATTTTACAGGAAAGTTTCTTGGGTCCTGTCCCAGTTTGCCCTTGTGTTTCAAAGAAAGTTCTAATAAGTATGGTTATCTGGTTTCCTTGCCCAAGCAGCTGGAAAAAAATGCATCAGAAAGGGAAGAAGAAACTACCAAGAGGAGGTACACCAACTACACACAGGAAGTGGTCACTGTCAGGAAGGGAGAAGACTGGGGTGAGTAGATAAAAAAACTAAACATTCAAAACCAAAGCAGTCTGCAACCATTTAGTAAAGGCAAAACAGTCCCACCTGTCTATGCAGCCCCTGAAGTCTACAAAGGCAGCTAGGCACAGAAAGAAACATTATATCCAGTATGTTCTCTGATATCTATATTAGATAACTCCGTCAAAGAAATGGCTAAAATAAAAAAGTTTTACTGCTTAAGGCAAGTTTGGAATTTGTGGAAAATCCCATTCCACAGTGGTACCAGATAAACAAGATAAACAACCTAGCAACAACACTGGGAAAAGTGCTAGGAACAAGGCTGTGCCTGAGGATGCTGCACTGAATAAGGCCACTAACTTTTAACACCCTTCCTTATCTAGCTGTCAGAAAAAAATGGAAAGGTTTGGACAAAAGTTTCTCATAGCCTATTTTTTTCAATCTTGCAAAGGAGGATTTAGGCAATTATTTACAGATAGCCACCTGCAACAAGATGGGTTCTGATTTTGGAAAGATAAAGAACACATTTCTTCAACTATTTACTAGTCCTAGCCAAGCCCCATCTACAAATGAGGTGTTAACTGACTGACTTTACAGGTAATTGCTTTCATATATTCATTTACCATTTTCCCAATCTGCTACTGCAGAATAAAATTCCAGTAAAATGACTAGTGATAAAGGGAGCAAACTATAAAAACTACCATCAAACAGGATCCTACCCTACTCAGAAGAAAATTGCTTCTTCCAAAAGGCTCTCCAAAAGGATCTGAACTAATCTGATTTTGCATAATAGCTAATGAGTTACCACCAAACCAGGAATAAAAATATTTCCACCTTATATTCTTTAACTTCCACAGACAGTGCAGGAGCACCTTGGGAAAATGTAAAATTTCCTATCTCCAGACGGGCACAATCAAAAAGATAACTGCAGTAAACTTTTAAAATTATCATCTGGAAGACTGGACATTCTACTCTGCCTTCAAAATTTCTATTACATTTATCTCCCTTTACACCACATTCTTCCCTACTGAAATACAACACAGCTAACGTGTGTTCAGCTTACTTGGATGTTTCGAGTATGGTTATCCCCAAGCCAGACCACTGAACCTGTAAACCTACAATGTTTACAAGAGGAATGGGATAGGCAAGCTATTTAGTGGTTAGGCCAATACAAATGAGCCATGCTTCTAGAAAAACAAGGTTATATGGCAGTGATTTATTGTCATTATCTTTGTATACCAGGTGTAGTATACTTTAAAAAATGAGATACACTAAATCCCACAAAAGAATCTACTCCCTGGAAAATAAAGGCAACACCATTAAGGATTCCCTTCAATAATGCACTGGAAGGCACTGGACAAAAGTGGAATTGGCCTCATACTGGATTATAAAGGTACATACTTGGTGCATCTCTCACTCAGCTTTCATAGAAATTCAACATTTTGAGAATCTTCGAAAGGTGAACTAGAGAGAGAAAACCCACCCAGAGTCGTATCCTCATAATAATCAGATTCCGAGAACTGTAGAAACTATTCTATCCTTAAAGCAGCCCCAAATTTTAAACCTAGTGATTTAGTCTTACTCATCAAAGATGACTACCTTTAAGAAATGGAAATACCATTTAACAACTGAGCTCTCAGGAATAACTGATCATAACATACTAGATGTTTTCTCAAAAGCATGTGACTGCATCTAGGTATAAGTATGTAGCAACTAATAACTAGAAGTACTTCTATGTACTTTTAGTACTTTTATGGCTCTTAGCAGAAAGAAACCAAGAAAGGTGGCTTGGCCTCAAAGACAGACTTCTTAGCAAATATTTTCCATGTACTTTCCCCAGACATGAAAACTTTCCTTAAAGTAGAAAAGGAGGCAATAGATTACATCATAACATGCTTATGGTTCTAATCAAATAAACTGGATTTTAAAAATCTGTCATTCTAAAACACTCTACTCTCACTCCTACTTTTCATTCACAGTAAAATAGACCTAAAGTCAATAATCTCTAAAGAATAAAAATATCTTTTTAAAAAATCTGCCAATTAAACTTAAATCACCATACTTTTACAGATTAAAATGAGGTTTTTAACAAAGGTATCTGTAAGTACTCAAGAGTACAAATGAGTTGGTAAAGAAGTTATTTTAAAAACAAAAAACATGTAGCTTGAATCAACAACTATGTTTAAATCACAGCAATAAGCAAACTCAGTGGTTACTAGGTGGTCTTAAGACTTTCAGAGCAAGGAAGTTGAAGACTTGTTCACCTAAGTCGATATAAGGATGACTATCATGCATAAGTGCTTCTCATTATCTCAAACTTGTAACACACCTTAGAATCTTACTACACTTAGAAAGGCCTTCCAAACAAACAGTAAAAGCATCTGAAAGATAATCCTTGATCTTATTTCAAACTACTTATCTTGTAGACAACTTATTTATCTTGTAGACAATCAGGACTATTTTTGCTACAGTAAAATAAAAGTTCAAAAAATAACCAATTCTTTACTTGATATATAATGTCCATGGGGAAGTCCCAGTAGAGTGTAAGGGAAAAACCAAAGCTGCAGTACTGGCTGTTGCCTGTCATTTAGTAGAAGGTGTCCTGCCACTGAGATTGGACTCAAAAGTGCAAAAGAAAAAAAACTTAAAAATCAAACCTAGAATTCAACTTTTTATGTTGAGATTTGGTTTTATTTATGCTACTAGCTAAGTAAAAAGCATACATATTGTGTCTGTGGTACAGTCAATACATTTGCAACTTTTCTACTTAAATTCTCTATACAAAGTCACTGCCAATTGATATGATCATTGATGGCAAAGGGCTTAGAATAACCAAAAGGTATAAAAAGTTTGCAGTCTTGCCCCGAGATACAAAAACTGAATTTTAAACAATGTCATAACATACATGATTTAAACAGTATATGAAAAAAAAGTCACACATCAAATTAAGTACAAAAATATCCAAACTACCTATTATGAACTATAATGTTTCCATTATTCTGCACAGTATTTAACACAGAATTTAGCAGTTTCCAAAATACTCATCATTTAGTTTAAGCATTGCCACCTTTGCAGAATGGTAAGTTATCAGGTGGAGTGACACTGCTTTTAGTGTTTTTAAAAATACAAAACCTTTCCCTATGAATTAATGAAGAAAAAGAAATTCTTCTTCTAGGCTGCTTAGTAACCAACCTTGTGCCTAGAAATATATACTACGTCTACTGTTTAACAGGGCAAAAGTACACTACTTGATAAATAGTTATCCAACAGGGATAACGAGTGTAATTTTAAATGATATTACTTTGATAATTTTAAAGAATTCTCAGTATACACAGAGATTAGTGTTTTGCCTTGGCGAAAATAAAATTGAAATCGTAAGACAATCTGAATTGAAATCATCTTCACTAGTTTAACTTGCAAAAAATATTTTGGATAAAAGGTTATAATACATTACTATCTTATTTTTTAAACACAGAGTAAAGTTGCTCTTGGTAAAATTAACTCACCCACATGGCACAATACCTGGGAGTAAAGTATGTTCAACAATAACAACTCGCACACAAAATAACATAGGTGAATTAACTTAGAGAGCTTCTCTGCCTTTAAAATCAGCAATATTGAATTTATTCTGTAGAATAACACACATATCGATGTTCTGCATATAAAAGGGTCTAAGACAGTTTAAAGGGCTAAATTTTCCAGCATTGGAATGATTCCTTCATATATAACTGGTGAAGATTTAATAAGAATGTGTTTTTCCTGATCTTCAAGCTCTGAGCCATGCCTGAAAAGTTCTAAATAGGAAAAAAAATTGATTCAATCCAGTTTCTGTCTGCTAGGAGCAAGGCAGCAAACATATTTTTCAACCCTTTATGAAAAGATAAAGCAGAACGAAAGTGAAATATATCTTCAGATTATAAACAGGATTGTATTTTATAGTCCACCATCCTGACAAAGAATGTTATGGGCCCCAACAGTAAAAGACCTCAGTCTAAAGGTTGTGGGTCCGCAATAGGCATGGTGTGAAGAACTTCATCTAGGAGCTGGAGAGCCCGGTGTAAGTGAATCTCAATCCAGCAAGGCGTTTCTTTGATGCTCTGTCTTGGGTAATCCGGTCCCCAGCCCTTCACAAAACTCATCCTGAGTATGCATAAGCGACGAAGGTCATCAACACCGATTCCAGCAGCAGCTGACAAACCTAACGGAAAATATTTGGAAGACGTCAGAGGGACAGGCTGATGTATTCCCATCCTTCCTACATCTTACATTAATAAAGTGACCAGCTTTCTTTACTTCACTCTCCCCAGTATATAACTTCTCTGTCAAAGTGCCAAGAAGTAAGTACAGATCTAAACTTTGTCAAGAGACTGAAAACTTTTGGTTAAGACAATTTACATTCCACATGAGTCTTCTAGCTCCCATGAATTATAAAGTGAATTACTACCATCTACCAGCACCCCACCAATTTTTCTCTTTAGAAGTGGAGGTGAAGGGAAAAGAAACAACTTGTTTTTAAGAGGTAGCATCTCCACAGAATGGTTCTAAGAACTTTCCTGTCTGTCTAAACAGTCTAGTTCAGAGTAAGACATGACTAAGAATGAAACAGTTAACAGTCCTGGTTCCACTAAAACTTCCTGGATGACCAGATGATGTCTGTCTCTCAATTTCACAAGGTAACAGAGATAATATGCAATTACTCAATGGGGGCAGTAGGTGAGAATGAGAAATTTAATAACAGTTCTGGATTCCTTAGTAAAAGCAAGTTTATAACATCAAAACTAGCAAATTAATGGTTTAGATGCCCAAATTTCTTTAAAAAATCAAATCCCATAAACGAGTATGCCTTATCTACCTCTACATTGTAAACTCCTGAATGTAAGTCACAATGGAGACTCTGCATCTAGTTTTCCAGTCAGAACATACAGTCATATATAGTCAATCTGCATTCATCAATATTACAATGCAACTAATGGGAGGAATTTGCATGTACTGTAGAGAAACCTGCAGGGCCACTGCAGTTTTCTTAGCCAGTGTGATTTGCTTACCACACTGAAGAGGTTAAGAACAGGGGTTGAATGAATCACTAGTTATGCCTTCAGACGTGGAAGATGGGTGCCACGTGTTTCCATCATAAAAGTCTATAGTCAGGAGTTTAACTCTGCAGTAAAAAATTCCCCATCAGTGTGAAACCTGGCACACAGTTCAATTTTACCCTAAAATTAAAAAAAAGTCTACAAGTTATCAAAATACCACCCTCACTTAGTTTTCTCTCCATGCTTAGCATACTTAAAAAAAAAAAATTGGAAGTGCCTAATTCTGAAATTGAAATACGCTTTCCTTCCAGAATAAAGCCAAGCATGTCAGTGATAACAACCCACCCTGGCTGGTGAGGCAGGAATTAAAAACATCAACAAAAAAAGGGGAGATGACCAATAATGTAACAATAACCCTTTTTCTTCTTCATCCCATATTCCCTTTTTGATACAAAAAGAATGAAAACAGGGTCCTAGACAAAGGGCAAATGATATAGAAGAATCGTTTTTTAACAAATTCAAAAATGTTCTTATCCCAGTAAAAAGAACTTTAATTTCTATTATTGCTTAAACTAACTAATCAAATGAGTGAATCAAGATAAAACACCAACTATTACACTCAAACAAACAAACGAACCAAAAGCATACTTACTGATAGCTGGAGCTATTCCACCTACTGATCCTGGGCCAGGGATGTTTCCAGCCACGGCTGCTGCCTGGGCAGCTGCTGCAGCTTGTGCAGTGGCCGCCTGCTGCTGCATCTGCCGATGACACTGTCGCAAATCAAAGACCTTTTAAAAAAAAGTATAGGTTTAATGCTATGAGTCCGTCAGAAAGGATTCCATTCATCAAAAACCAATGCACAATTTATCTAAACTTTCGGCTTCATTAAACTCTCTTATAAATAAAAAGAATTAAGTAAACTTTTTAAGTTTTTATGTATGTAGTAACTGGAAGTTAGGAAAGGTGGCTTGGAGCTCACCAAGAGGCACATTTCACTATCAGGACAGATGTGGCTACCACATGCCTCTGCATCCTTTACCTAGGTTCAGTGTGAGTCAGTCATTACTGTCCCTCTGAAAAATCACCCGTTTGTGTAAAATGAAATCATTTCAAGAAATCACCCCATCCTTTCAAACCAAATTGCTGAGTTTTCTTCAGGCTGAACTGATGACCTTGGTCATATGGCCAACTTTTTTATCATTCTAGCTATTTGGAGGAACATTAATAAACGGCATTGTCACTATATTAAGATCTGCATTTTTTTAGAGTTGCATACTTTACTACATAGGAGTAAAATAACAAGCTGTCTAGGACTTGTTTTAAAATACTGAAGAAACAAAGAAAATGTATTTAAACTCAAAAACAAAAAAGAAACAAAAAAAGATAAAGCAAATATAAAATCTTTACTGAATCTCAGTGATAAATAATGGGATTTTATTAAACTAGGTTCTCTCTTGTTTTCTGCATGTTAAAAAAATGCTCATCGTTTTTCAAAAAAAGCTTGGCTTTTGAATACTATCACTGATAATACTATCTATTACATAGGTTCTTTATTAATCTCTCTGGAACCTCAATTTTCTTATCTATAAAACAGGAATGCTAAGTGTACATGCTTTTTCGTAGGGTTGTTGTAAACTTTGCATAATATGTAATACGTTGTCAATAAATGTTATTTATTTTGTTTTTGGCCTCCCCTGTAGCCATTTACCTTGCAGGATGAGTTAAAGAGTTCATAAGAATTTCAGGGTTCTTTATCAGCCATGCCAAGGGCTGACATAGTAAGGAAGGGGTTGACACTTTTATTCTTATCGTCATAAAAGTACTGGAACAACGTTCGTTCAGTAAGCAACAAATTATGAATGACAAATCACATCACCTTTTTTCCTAAAAAAAATCAACTTCCTAAAATAATGTGTTTGATTATATTTGCATTTAAAACAAGCATGGGAAGATTACACAAGCCAAGTGGTCACCTGTAGAAGCTGCAGAAAAGGATAGCATAGGAGCAAGGCTGCACAAGGCAAACTTTTCAAACTGAACCGTGTGACCATATTCCTCATTCAAATAGTACTTTTTAAAAAGCCTCCTACTATGCACAAAACCTAAATATGAGCGAGCATAACTGTCTTTAACAATAAAAGAAATCAAAGAATGAATAACATACTTTATCAGATAAACAACACGTTTGGAACCCAAACCATTAGTTTTCAGATGCCTGAAAAAATTTTGTCTTTAATCATGGTATTCATACAAACCATACAACAAAGCAATCCCCTCCCAATTGCAAATCACATTGCCATTTACTTATTTCTCCATTCAATGCCTATCTTCTAGCATCAATGAAGAACAAAACAGACCATTTCATTCTCTAAAGAGCTATGAACTTGTCAAATATATATTAATGTATTACCTGGCCAAACTATTAGTCCTAAAAGGCTTCAAGACAGAAAGCATAACAAAGTCAGGTCTGAAAACCAAAAATCGCACAATGCCCAGGAAAAAAAACCATTATTTTTTCAAGATTTCCCAAGAATCCACTAGATTCTGAAACTTTCCATTGGTCTATGACCTCTTGGAAGGCATTACCTAGCATAACACAAAGCAGGGACTCAAATATTTGAAAAGCTGAATAGCTAGCTCTACAACCATTCTTTTTAAAGAAGGAAATTAATAAACTTTACTTTTTAGAGCAGTTTTAGGTTCCCAGTAAAACTGAACAGAAAGTAAAGAGAGTTCCCTGCCCCACTCAAGTACAATATTCCCCACTATCAACAACATTCCCCAGTATCAACAAACTGCATTACGATGGTACATTTGTTACAATCAAGGAACCTATGGTGACATGTCACTATCAAAGTCATAGTGTACATTTAGGGTTCACTCTTGGTTTCGTATAATCTGTGGGTTTGGCCAACTGTATAACGACATGGATCCAACAATGTAGAACCATACAGAGTCATTTCACTGCCCGAAAAATCCTTCGTGCTCTGTCTACACATCCTTCCCTCCCCCTTACCCTTGGAAACCACTGATCTTACTGTCTCCATAGTTTTGTCTTTTCCAGAAGGTCACAGAGTTGGAATCATATAGTATATAGCCTTTTTCGGATTAGCTTCTTTCACTTAGTAATATGCCATCAGATTCCTTCCTCCATGTCTTTTCATGGCTTGATAGCCCATTTTTTATTGTTGTTAATATTTCATTGTGTGGTTATACCACAGTTTATTTATCCATTCACCTGCTGAAAGTCTTCTTGATGGCTTTCAAGTTTTGACAATTATGAATAAAAAGCTCTATAAACATCCATGTGCAGGTTTTTGTGTGAACATAAGTTTTCAATTCACTTGGGTAAATACCAAGGAGCATGGTTGCTGAATCGTATGGTGAGAGTATGTTTAGCTATGTAAGAAACTACCAGACTGTCTTCCAGAAGTGGCTGTACCATTTTGCATTCCCACCAGCAATGATAACGAGTTCCTGTTGCTCCACATTCCTGTCAGCATTTGGTGGTGTCAGTGTTCTGAATTTTGGTCATTTTACTAGGTGTGCAGAAGTATCTTACTGTTGTTTTAATATGCAATTCCCTAATGATGTAAGATGTCGAACACCTTTTCATATGCTTACTTGCTATCTGTTATCTTCTTCAGTGAGATGTCTAGTCAGGTGTTTTGCCCATTTTTAATCAGGTTGTTTTCTCATTGTTCAGTTTTAAGACTTTCCTATTTTAAATAATTGTCCTTTTTCAGATGTGTCTTTTGCAAATATTTCCTCCCAGTCTATGGCTTATTTTCTCATTCTCTTGACATTGTCTTTTTCAGAGCAGAAGTTTTAAATTTTAAGGAAATCCAACCTATCGATTGTTTCTTTCATAGATCATGCCTTTGGGACTATATCTAAAAAGTCACTGCCATATCCAAGGTTATCTAGGTTTTCTCCTATGTTACATTTTAGGAGTTTCATAGTTTTGTGTTTTACATTTAGGTCTTTACAATCACTTTTTAAAAGTTTTTAATCATCACTAACGAAGTATGGCACATATATAATCTTATTATCTGGGAGCAGGAAATAAAACTTACGTATAAATTTCCAGGGTTCGACTTTGCTCTCAACTTTATAAGTCATTAAAAATAACCAAAAGATCTTCACACAAAGGTTCTTTACAATATGTTGTAAAAAATCACAATGACTGTCTTATCTAAATCTATGCTAATAACAGCAGCACATATTATAGGTAACCATAAAGATAAAATTTTAAAATGACTTTTATCTGTAGATGCAGCAAAAATGATTCATTAAGCACCTCAGCAAACCTTCCTTCCACAGTGGATTATTTATGTAATTACAGCACTCAAATCAGAAGACTTATGATTATTGGCTATACTGCTACCTGATACCTGGGATGCCTCCTGACTATATACTGTATCTGACCCACTATACCATAATATATTTCAGCTGTTATACTGGATGGTAAAATTAAAGCTATCACTGAAATGCAACCATCTTCCTTTCAGAATATGGCCAAGTTATTGATGAAGACAATTCAAAGGAACCAAAGGTTTTAAATATTCTTTTTGGATCCAGAAGGTATTTCTGATCAGCAATCCTGAGCAAATCAACAACTTACCTCTGCTTTCATTTAATTAAACATGTTCCCTGTGCTTATTCTTCATATAAGTTTATTACAAACTTATTATCTAATACAAGTGTCTTATAAAAAATCATTGTCAACATCTTCAGGATACTGTCTTTCAACCAGACGTCAAATTCTGGCATTTTTCTTTCAAAATACTCTCAGTTTGAATCAATACCAAGAACTAGAGAAACATGATTGTGTTAGTATACTGGGCATTTGAGGGACTTGCTAAGTTACCTGACTTGGAGTTAAGAATCATAATATATAACTGGGAATTACATATTAAGTGGGAATTATAATAACCTTCAACATAGCCTACTTCTGGTTTAGAAGCATTCATTGGCTCCTCGTCTCATAACATATATGTCTTCAAAAACAAACCTGAATCTACATCATCAGAGAAATGTGAATCAAAAACCAATACAACGAGATACCACTTCACACCCACTATGATGACCAATGCTGAAAGACAAATAATGAATGTTGATAAGACTGTAGGAAAAACTGGAACTTTTACACACTGCTGATGGGAATGTAAAATAGTGCAGCCATTTTAGAAAAGTTTGACAGTCTCTCAAAAAGTTATATATAGAATTATGATCCTAGCAATTCCATTCCTAGGTATATATCCAAGAGAAATAAAGACATGCATTCACACAAAAACTTATACATGAATGTTCATAGCAGTATTATTCATAATACAGCCAAAAAGTAGAAACCTAAATGTCCATCAACTGATGAATGGATAAATGTGGTATATGGACTATTATTCGGCCATAGAAAAAAAATGAAGTACGTATAACATGCTACATGGATGAAGCCTGAAAACATTATGCTTAGTGGAAAAAAGTCACAGAAAACCATATGATATGATTCCATTTATATGAATGTTCTCAATAGACAAATCTACATATAAAGTAGTTAATGGGCGTCTAGGGCTATGGGAAATGTAGGGGGTGGGGGTGACAGCTAATAGGTACAGGGTTTTTTTATGGGGTTATGAAAATGTTCTAAAAATGTGAACATACTAAAAATCATTAAATTATACGCTTTTAAGTAAGGGAATATGGTATATAAATTTTCTATCAGTTTCTCAATAAAGCTGTTAAAAAACCTGAGTGCCCAGTGCTAAGCAACAGTAAAAACAGATCTGAC